ATCTTCATCCAGACGACGCAGCTCGTTGTCCTCCGCCAGCGCTTCCTCCACTGAGCTTGCCGCCAAACGCTGGTGGAAAAACTCGTCGATGACCCTCAGCCTCGCTGCCCGAATGTCATCCTCAATATTTGTAAGCGCCCTCCAAATCACAGGCTTGTTGTCCAACGCCCGCAGCTCGGAGACCTCCACATCCCGCCGTGCTGCGTCCCAGGCTGGCTTGAGTCCCATGTAACACATGGTCTCAAACTGCATCACAATTTCTGCCCTCACAGCGGGGGCGATCTTGCACATGTCCAGCGAAAGCTGGAACTCCATGCCCGCCGTCTGGACCGCAGCGTATATATGTCGGTCGTCTGAAAGAGATGCCTCCCAGACTTCCAACAAAGCCTTCTGGAGGTCTCGCGCCCGCCGCCATGCCGTGTCCTCCTGGGGCTGTCCGTTCGACCCCGATGCATGCACCTCAGGAGCCGCCAGACGCGCCACCTGGAATTCTTCCAACTGTCCGCAGAGGTCCTTGACCTCATTCAGGCCCGGCAAGGCCTGCGCATGCCTCCACTCCAGTACCTTGTCCAGGCAAGGAGCATGCGAAGGGATGCTCGGAGCGCCAGACATCTTGCACAGCAAACTGGCGGCACGGAGGGCTGCTGCTCACGCACACCGTCGAAACCCGCATGGATCTCATGCATGCATCGCACAACACCCAGTCCGCACCCCCCTACTGATCGTCAGTCACATCAGTCACCTCCCAGGCGCTCCGAACAGCCTGGTTTCCTGTGGCCATCCGGCGCATCTCAAAAAATCCCCTTAACTTTCCCAATTCTTTACCAAATGAAAAACTGAAAATACCATTCGCTTCCTAAATTAATTCCGCATTACCCTGTATCATCTCCGCTTCTTAATGACCGCCTTTTCTATACGATCGCCCGAAGGCGTAAAAATTCAACCGCTCTGGTTTCGTCGCGGTGTACTTCATCGGCGTTACAACATACAGTCCAAAATGACAGCGCCCGATACCGCCCGATTCTGCCACCGATTACCGCGATTCCTCATCACAGCGCGCCCACGCCCATTTCCCACTGAGTCATCTCCGGGGCCCGTCCGTGGAGTCGCGGAGCTGGCCACCCCGCAAACCCCCTCGCTGCCCCGCCCAGGCCTCCGGGCCGGTGCGTTTCTCCCACAGGGGCGCCGCCGCAAACCTTTCCCGGTCAGATCGGCGGGAAGCCCCTCCTCCGTAAACCCACCGGCTCAGATTGGCACGGGTGGCCTTGCACGCAGTCTGCACCCGCCCGGACCATCGAGTCCCAGCCACTCGGGTCCGGGGCTTTGGGGTCGGGGGCTCTTGACCGAGAGGGCCCCGCCCTGCAAACGTTACGGGCAGACTGAAAGGCCTCAGGGAGGCGGTCGCTTTCCCCCGGCGGAAGGGGGCTAGCCCGGCACGGGTGCATGAGACCACCGTGCGGCTGCACCCCTCCATCGCCGGCCCATGGGTGCGCACGGAGCCGCCCGATCCCACAGTGGGCATTGCTCCGATTTTCCGCGGCAGGATCCTTCCCTGCCTTCCCCTGGACGCGTAGAGTGGGTCGCCTGCCCGCGGGCAGGAACTGCGTGGCGGTGTGGGGACTCGTTGCCCCTGGGGGTGGCGCAGAGCCCCCCCGAGTCGCGTGGCTTCCGATGTACTTCCGGGGCTGCGCTGATTAGTTGGCCAGGTTACGTGAGAGTCTCTGTCGGGTTGTCGCTGACCCTGGGTCCTGTCGCCGTAGCCGATGCTGCCGATACCATCCCAAAGGGCCGTGTCGTCCATACGATTCCACCCGGGCTGGCCATGGCTCCACCATACTGGAGTCCCATACCATCCAACTCTGGGCCTCACGGGGCACCAGCTTGTCGCAACTGAATGGCGCATAATTGAGCCATAATGGACTCATTATTGGTGACCCGAGCACAGGCCATTGAAACGAAGAACAGATAAGATTGTCAGCATCTTGTTGTTGCGGACAACAAATCGTTGAGCAAACTCGGTCAAGAGCTCGCAATCATTCGATCTTCACCAACCCAAAGGCCACCTTGCTCCTGCCTGGGGTCCGCTGAAAGTTTGTGTTGGGTTTTCAACTGAGCTGAACATCACAACTGGCATCTGCGGGCAAATTTCACTGCTGGAGCTCGAACTGCACGTGGTGTCTCACAGTCCCAACCAATGCCATGTGTTCTCCACACGTCAAATAAAGGTGCATGCAAAACGTTGGGTGGGCTTTGGAAACGGACATCGAGCAGGTATGATGCGCTTGTCAGGGTGGTGCCTTTGCATCTCTGTCCAAACTTTGGACAGCAGTTTGGACTCCAAACTGCTTCACGATGCAAGTTGACGGTTCATCACGAAATCGAATGTGTGCACATGGACGCGCTGTATGCTGTTAGCTCCTAAGCGTATGGTATATCGGCCTTTGATCATCGCTGCAGGCAACGCGCTGTTTTTATCTGGGAATGCTTAGCACCCAGCAGACGTTGCGGGAGCAAGCGTGGGACAATGGACAACACAAAAATTGTGCGACTACACAAGAATCAAGATGAGCGATGTGGAGGCAGGAACGCCCTGCGAGGTGTGCAAAAAGACACTGTGGGCGGGATTTGAGCTGCCAATGGCTCCATCCACGCAAGACATAGCAAGATTGTCGGGCGGCTACCCCTGGCGCCAGGTTGCAGGGCAGAATCTGCGCAGTACAAGACATTCCATGCACTGGCCGTATGGCTATGTATGCTGTTGAGCGGGCGATCGAAAATCAATCCTTGTTGACGATCGGCAACGGCCGTTGGTGACCGGCACCCATTTGGGTTTCGTCACTGCTGGGCCCTTTGCTTCTTATTCGATAATCGACGCGTGTGGGGAAAACAAGTGCGTGCACTGGGAAAAATTTTGGGTGTGTAACTACCACACCCTGTGGGGACGCGAGCAGGCAAGGATTCTTGTTGATAGAGACTGGAATTGAGTCGCGACAGGTGACGGCATGCTGACAATGCGTGGGCTCTGACATTGATGGCTGGTGGTGCGTTTGACTATGCCGGGTGTGTTCAGGTGATACTGAAACTTGAGCTTGTATAATTGCGCAGGCCTTGGTGTTGGGTAAATTGCCCCTTGAGTAGTCAGGCGCAATGGGGGAATGGTGTGCGTTGCAAGGCAAGTGTCGGGGGCAGGCCTTGGTGTTGGGTGAATTGCCCCTTAAATAGTCAGGCGCAATGGGGGAATGGTGTGCGTTGCAAGGCAAGTGTCGGGGGGGGACATTTATTCGCTTTTGAGGTATGATTGGATGGCGTGTAGACACAAGACCAGCATGCTGTTGATGGCACAATCGCCGTTGCCCGAATTCTCTTTGCACAATTTCTATAACAGCAATATGATGTTGGTCAAATGTTTATTAATATTCGCACAGCGCCAATGCACGTGTTGCCTTTAAATTCTGTTCATTGTCTTTGAGTCGTGCAGGGACATTTTAAAAAGACTGGTGTTCAAGGCGGAAGGGGCAAGTCTGGGCCCGTTCGGCTTCAGGCGTGTCCCAATCTTACCAGTGCCTTCCGCTGATTCGCAAATATTTGCTGGAATGCGATTTATTGGGCATAATTTGCAGATTCGTGTGATGCAGTGTGATTGTTTGACAGGTGCCATATCAGAGTCTTTGTTTGAGGTTGTACGTTCATCTACAGCTGATCCACTCGAAAATTTCAAAGGCGAGGTGTGACTGGCAAACTGCTCGAATAACGAGTAATTGAGCATTTGACGCGCATCCGTCAATTACTGATTTGTAATCCGATAATTAAATGGTGGCATATGAGAATTCCGTTCAGGGAAGGCCATCAACAATATCTTTGAATGGCTGTCACATTTTCTCGATGTTTTACATGCAACCTTCCAGATTGTGTAACTGGAGGTCGGTAGCTGAACACTGATTTGTAGCGAAGCTCAATGAGAAAAGCGAATACAGATTAAAGAGATGAAAGTCTGACATACCGAGACAGCCGCAGCTGCCATGTTGTGCAAGTAGATGGTAATGTGGTGGCTGACTGATGCACTCGTCGACCCGATTGAGATGGCGGGAGGACGGCTGCCCAAGATTACCTTCAATTTTACTTATTTTGGTGATCGTGAGTTGGAGCTGTGGGTCGGTGCGGTGGGTGGATGCTATGGGTTGGTGCTGTGGGGTAGCGTGTTGTGCGTGTGTGAAGCGTGAGTTCAGTCCGCCATTCTGAGTGTGAGTTCTGGTGATCGAAAAAAGGAGGCGTACTCTGGTAATAGAAAAGACGCCGAGACTTGCTCGCGGCTTCTCTTGGTTTAGTTGTAAGACAAGCTGAATCTTGGCTCCTTGTCCGACCAAACATGGCGAGCGCGTTTGAGCACCGTGTGCACCAAGGTTGCCACAGGTGTCAAACCAAAAAGGTTTGTCTTGTGCTGCTTTGTGCATGCATTCCGTTGCGGCGATTGCGACGAGCGGGATCTCGAACCGGGATGGCCAAGAAACTTTGAAGAAAACATTGGTTGAAAGCAGCCAACAACGCGCCCATTGCACTTTCCGGCCCCGGATAAATCATGGGGGATCTCATGTGATGGATGAACTAATGTCTTCGTGCATTTCAAAACCCCCCTTGCGCCCTGCGCCCACCCATGGTGCCAGTCTGCCCCCGTTGGCGAAGGGGGCGACTGCGGGGGCCCAGTTGTACTGGACGGCCGTCGCCCTTCCCCCGCCCAGTAGTGGACCGCATCGCAATCCCCGTTGGCGCAATCACGCCACCCTTTAGGCCAGGGCTCGGGTTCCCTTCTGCCTCTTTGTGTGTGGTGTCCTTTGAACCCTGCCCACGGTTCTGACCCCTTCGTCAGACCGGCGACTCATGGCCCGCGCCGAAGGCCACCGGCGGCCTCCTGGACTCCTGGCCGGGCCCCCCTGCCCTTCGGCTTGTTCCCACCGGCCTTGCCGCCCACCCCACCACCCCCTCCCCGTCCCCATTCGGCCAAGATGGGCGTATCGGCATTGGTCGCGGAGGAGGTCCAGGGGGCCCCGGCCCAGGCCCACCTGGACAAGACGACCGCGGACTGGGGCCTGCACAGGCTGGCCGACGGGATCGACCAAAAGGATGCGGACACGCCGGACAACTGGATCCCGCGCCACCCCAAGATCCTGCGGCTCACGGGGCGCCACCCGCTGAACTGCGAGTCGCCGCTGGACCTGCTGCTGGGCGCGGGATTCGTGACGCCGGTCTCGCTGCACCTGGTGAGCCCGTGATGCGCTGCCGATCCGCTGCGGGAAGGAGGGGAGCGGCTTCGGGGTGGGAACCCTGTGGAATTGTTTTGGCCGGCTGGCTGGCGGGTGATTCGCCGTGGACGTCCCCCCCCTGGCGTTGGCAGGCGGGGGCAGCAGATAGTGATGCGCGATCACTGGCGGATGACATGCGGTCGTTGGGGATGCGGGACAATGTCCATGGGCCTCTTGAAAGGGAAACTACCACAGGACGACCGAACGGGTCGATCGCCCGGCGGAAGTGCGTGGAAAGCGCGCTGGGCGGTTTGGGAACAGCGTGCGGCACTGGGGAAAACGCCGCTCGCCATTCTGAATGTACATTTGCAGGAAGACGATGACTGGTGTCGTGCATTCGTGGAAGCCGCCCTGGGCGGCTTCAACAGCAGCGAGTGGCAGTGAGGGACACGCCGCTCGAGGCTCTGTGTTTGCCGTTGCCTAGGGACGCTGATTGCCGCCGTGGGTTCGTTGGCGATGCTGCTGCGGCGAGGGATGCACGAACCCCTGCGCCAGTTTCTGTCCTCGTACGCACAACGCCGTCCGCGGAACTCACCTTGTGAAATTGCCTCCCGCTTGCCAAGGTTCGAAACCACGGCGCCGTTCCCAAGCTGGACTGGAAGACCCACCGCATCGAGGTCGGCGGCCTCGTCAACAACCCGGTGTCCATGAGCATGGACGAGCTTGTCAAGTTTCCTTCCATCACCATCCCGGTCACCGTCACCTGCGCGGGCAACCGCCGCAAGGAGGAAAACATGATCAAGAAGTCCATCGGCTTCAACTGGGGGCCGGGTTCCACGTCCTGCACCTACTGGACGGGCGTCAGGCTTTGCGACATCTTGAAGCACGCCGGCGTGAAGAGCCCCGACCAGGGCGCGCATTTCGTGTGCTACCGCGGCCCCAAGGGGGAGTTGCCCAAGGGAGAGGACGGCTCCTACGGGACGTCCGTGACGCTGGCGGCGGCCATGGACCCCAGCAACGACATCCTGCTGGCCTACAAGCAGAACGGGCGCTGGCTGACGCCTGACCACGGCTTCCCCGTGCGCATGCTGATACCGGGATACATCGGCGGGAGGATGGTCAAGTGGCTGAGCGAGATCACGGTGACCAAGGAGGAGTCCAACAACTTCTACCACTACCATGACAACAGGGTGCTGCCGCCGCACGTGGATGCGGAGCTCGCGAAGGAAGAGGGTGGGTGTGGCTGGGTGCGCGCTGGCGGGGTGGGGTGCGCTTGTCTGGTCGAGGAGTCGATTTCGTGCTGCCGGTAATGATGGCTGCTTCCGAACAGATCCGGACACCTACTTCCGGACGGAGGGACCACGGTGCACAATTTCAGTGAAATCAAAGGGCCCGCGTCGATGGTTGGCAGTCATGGCCGCGTTGGATTGTCACGTGTCTTGGGCACGGATATTGCCCTCGGTGGATTGGCTGAACGGGTAGAAATGGAAAAAAGCCAATGGAGCCGCAAACCTCCCCAACACCCAGGACTGGAGGACAGCCATCAAGGGTGGCGTCACTCAGCAAACAACACCTGCGAAAGGAAGAGAAGAGCTGCAAGGCATTAACAACACGTTGCAACTGGCTATTGTGCATTTTCGTGTTTGAGGGTGAACGCAAATTCAGTTGCTCACTGCCCTTTCACATAATGGTATACTTTGAGAAGTAAATCCCCAATGATGATGATGAGTAGCATTAAAAGGTTTGCTGTTCTCTTTGGTGGTTACAACTACTACATCAGTAGGCGATGTGACCGATACCCTTGAAAGGGCAGTTTGCAATAGTTAGTGGTTGTCTGCCTGCAACAATGAGTACAAGAGCTCATCTCTGCTGAACCGGTGAGTCTGCAAATGGAGAGAATTGGCACCGATTCTGGTGCTGTTGAAAGTGTTCTGTGCTGAGGTATCCAGTCTTCCACTGCACCAGCAGCCACAGGGATCGGCAGTGTGCTTTTTGTTTATCTCGCCAGCTTCTACTTGAATGAAGGAGAGTAGCATTGCCAATTTGTGAAGACAAATGTCACCACACACCAAAATCGAGTTGCTGCACAATTGTTCATTTGCACTCAGGGGTACCACAAATTGGTATTGTATAACCCCATTTTGCTGCGGACTGCATTCCAATATGGCACTGCTATTCACAACGCACAATGGTATGGTGGTGGTTTGCTCCCTTAAGGGATTTCTCTACAGCCAAGACTGGCTGGTGTAGCACGTTGGAATGAAGCTGAGTGTGGGTGGATGTGTTGCCAGCTTACTATTGATCGTTCTTATTGTGCAGGTTGGTGGTTCAAACCTGACTACATTATCAACGAGCTGAACATCCAGTCTGCTGCTGCCCGTCCTGCACATGATGAAGTGGTGTCTCTGAAGCATAACAAACCGTACAAGATCAAGGGCTATTCCTTCACTGGTAGGACAAAAACAGTGCGGACGAGCAGTGCGGGTATTTAAAAGTAAGGGAAGCAGTTTGGACAATCGTTGCCACTCCCAGAGATGTCTTCAGGCTTCATTCCACCACCCGAGTACGTGCTTCTTGCGACCCATTGCCACTGACTGCTTCTTTTACAGTCAGAGACTTCTGCACCACATTGTCACAGTAGGGATTACAATTTGAACTTGATGATTCTGGTGGCTCTGTCCACTGTGCAACCTGTTCCACTTTCCCTGCAGCAATCGTCTGGGGACATGGATTCGTTGAATGGTAGACCGCGTTTTGACAGCTTCGGTCCCAGCTGCATTTTCAGCTCAAAACTATTATGTCCCATGCAGAGGATCAGGTGCCAAACCTGTTGTAGTAGATACTGTGGTCTTTCTTTTCAGCCATGCCTTCCATGGCTGTGTTTCCAGGTGGCGGCCGCAAGGTCATCCGTGTTGAAGTTTCCCTCGATGATGGCAGCAGCTGGCGCCAGGCCACCATCCATCGCTTTGAGAAGCCCAACCCCTACGGCAAGTACTGGTGCTGGGTGTTTTGGGATCTCACTGTGGAAACCTTCGACTTCACGCGGTGTAAGGAGATCTTGGTGCGCGCATGGGACTCCTCCCAGAACGGCCAGCCAGCAGTGATCACCTGGAACGTCATGGGCATGATGAACAACTGCTACTTCAGGATCAAGATACACCCCCACACAGATGCTTCGGGCAACATCGGGTTCCGGTTCCAGCATCCAGCACCGATCGAGTTGGGCAAGCTGGGGAACATGGGTTGGCGGGAGGAAGAGCATCTGAGGGATGAGGCCATCAAGACTGTGACAACGGAGGTTGCAGCAGTGCAGGCGGCTGCTCCAAAGCCTCCAGGTGGGGAGCTCGATCAAGAAAGGTGCATTTGTGGCCATCAGCACGATGCAAAATAGAATACTGCAGCAGCAAGGAAGAAAGGATAGCATGGAGATTTCACAGTTCATGTGCCCTACTCCTTTCCTGTTGCCAATGCCCAGCAAGTGTCGATGTTTCTTTTCAGCATGACAGCATACGTGTTGAAACCCAGTCTAGCAAGGGGACGCTGATGGCAGTTTACAGTTTCGACACTTCAAGTCAAGATAGCATGCCAGAGTTTGGAGGTTATTTGGAATTTCAGACGAACGAAGTAAACCAAAGGACGAACAAATTTGCAATTCTGCACGTTTTTTCCACAAACATGCCAGTAATGATCCAGTTGCTCTCCGCCTCTGGCACAATACGCCCCTGGCACGACAGCTACCTCTGGCAGCAAAGCTCAACAATGCTTGCTGGTATGCCAGGAAAGGACTGTTGTGCTGCGTGCAGGGACTTGCATGTTGCGAACCCGCCCACAGGACTGAGACCCGTCTGTTTGGTGGCCTGCAGGGTCGAAGAACGTGTACACAATGGAAGAGGTGTCCAAGCACACCACAGAGGAGTCTTGCTGGTTCATCCACAACGGCAAGGTGTACGACGGGACTAGCTTCCTGGACGACCACCCTGGCGGCGGAGATTCGATCCTCATCAATGGCGGGCTGGATGCCACGGAAGAGTTTGACTCCATCCATTCCACCAAAGCCAAAGAAATGCTTAAGGACTACTACATTGGCGATTTGCAGGGCTGATCGTGCGGCATGCCATATGCACACTCTCACACTCGATGTGCCCACCACCTGAAGTGGCTGCTTGGCAGCCCTGCTAGGCGCTCGCAGGTCATTGACCTGTGGCTGAATGATCTCAGAGTCCCCTGAATTCATCGTTTTGCTAGCCACATAAATGAACGCGAGGTTGCTGGTTGCCAGCTGTTGTGCTCACCCTTGCCGGCGACGAACCTCTGACGTGTGTTTCTGATAAGCGTTTGTCTTGGAAGATTATGTTCATCCATTGTATATACGAAGTCACTGTTTGGCGGCTGTTCATCAGTCTTTTTGTTGAAATGACTTGGTGGCTGTCTTTGGCGTTGTTTCCGCCCGCCACACTTCTTTCAGGTGCACTGTTGACAATCGAGAGAACGTTTTCAATTCATATCGACGTGGCACATGTTGCAAGCGGCCATCGGAGCTTTTATTGTCTGGAAGAAGATTTGCAATATTCTGGTCGAACAGATGCCTGGCGTTCTGGTTAGAAGGAACAGTGGTTTTTTGCAACCCTGAAGGAATGCTGGAAGGGTCGCTCAACGAGAGTGTACAATGAGAATTGCTGTGGAAGTGATTTGGGTTTTCGCTGTGTTCGGGCCAGTACAGAGAATGTGTGTAAAAGGCAACTGGTCTGTCGCCAGTGTGCCAGCGATTGGTGGTGCACAGCGATCCATGTGTATGTGCGCGTCGCTTGCAAGACAGATACCCCAAAGCACGGCGCTCCATCATTTTCCTCTCACACCAGAGATGTTAGGGTATGCACTGTGAGTGTGAGTGTAGTGCCTGCCATTTGCGTCTGGCCAATGTGGTACCAAGACCCAATGGACTGATGCCATGGAAAGCAAGAGGTAGCGGCAGGACCTGTGCACCTTGGGTAACGAGAACTCGAAAGACGAAGCAGTTTGTGAACGGTGGGGCAGCAATGGCCTGTGAGATACTCTCATAGATCCCCCTAACCTGCAAAAATTTTTGATCCAGCCTTCCACCCCTTCAACCATTGTCGCAAGCTGCTGTGCCCTACCTGTCACTTGCGCAATACTTCGTCCCTTGCCCAGCTTGCCTCCGTGGAGGTGCCTGCCCCTCCCCAGCACCGACGTGCCCGCCCACCACCACAGCTAGTGCAGAGACTGCAACCGCCTGCCTTTTTCCCATCTGCGCTGTAGCCACATTGTTTAAACTCTACAACATCACACATGAACACCAACAACGATGTATCCATTGCGCAAGCGCACCAGCAGCACCTCATCAGCTTTGCTTTGCCCATCCAACCAAACCAGGGCCGATTCAAACCATTTAAGGTGCTCTTTCTGCACTGAGCAGCTGTTGAACATATGTGACCGCATCGGCGTGGGGCATGCGGACAGTCAGGTGCTATGGAAATTGGACCACTGTAGACATTGGGCTAGCTCCCTGTTCCGAAAATGCGCAGGTTGTGGTCGGAGGAGCCGACCAAAAGTGTATGGGCATCTTGCCCGAATGCCAGGCTGTACGCTCCCTTTTTTGGCAAGTTGCCAAGGGTCTTGAAGACATTCCAGTCCTGCTTGGAGCCAAACACGCGAACGTCTTCTCCCCCAACGGCAAGATAGAGACCACTGAAGTCGAATGCGACGCTCGTGATTGTCGGGCGAGTGTATGGTGCAAGCTCTCTGCGATGGGCACCAAACAAGTTTCAGTAAGCCAAGAGTCCAGCCAATCCAAGACAAGAAGCAATTGACAACAGTTTCAGTTGGATACAGGAAAAGGGTGGTTGCATGAAATGCACCAGAAGAGGAAAGATGTGCCAAACAAGATGCAAGGACTATCATCAAGAGACGTTGTCTCAATCGTCAAGCGTTGGCCAGTGCAAGGAATAAGATTCAGGGATGTGGGCATATTGCGCTACCAACGCATGGGAAGGGATTCGATACCTGTTCAGTGTTCACTCCCATTTAATCTGACAGCGAACAACAGCGAAATCTCCCTAGCCACATACACAGCCTGTAATGTAGCAACTTCAAAAGGGCTGTGCCCTCATGGACTAGGCCAGCTCTGGCTCTAAATGCACACACCTGAAGACCTTCAACTTTCTCAGATCCCATAGCTTGATGCAGTTTGCAGCTGCTGTTGCCATGTAGTACCCATTCTCTGAAAACGAAATACCCTTCACCGGAGTTGAGTGCGATCCTGAGGCCTCGTCTAGGGACTTGGCAATTGTCTGGCCCCTCATCTCCCACATGTGGATGGTACCGTTCTCAGAGCCACTGCCAATCAGCAACCCATCGGGGTGAAACTGGGCGCAGCAGTATGGTGCTTGTACATCTTGGTGATGAAGCTGCAAAAAGGCCAACAGAAAGTGCATCCATGAGGGCTGCATGAACAATCCAGCCATCTACACTGGACTCACCAGCGCCACATGCAATATCAACACTACTGCTGCACTCCTCTCTGCACTGAGAGAACCTTGGTACACAGCACAATGAGCGTACGCACCACAGCACTCAGACAACTTGTGAAGGCAACTTGACAGTGATGACCTGTGGCCAAGCTTGCTCTCCAGGCTGGGCCAGCAATGCACCTCTCTGCATGATGACATCATCAACAGAACAAAAAAACAGCTAAAGCGGTTTACCCCCTGCTAAGCATGCAGTGGTTTCTAAGACCATTTTTCACACTGACATGATCGCACACAAAAACCTCAATGCATGCAACACAAAAAGAATTAAGGACAAGACAACATTCTCACACGAGAGCATATGTGCAGGTGTGAGAGTCAATCCTCCACTGAGCTCAACTGGCCACATACCTTTTCGAGACACGTCCCAACCTCCAAGTCATAGAAGCCGAGAGTGCAATCCTTGGATGCTGACACAATATATTTTTCCAATTTTCCGCAGGCCACAGTAACAACATCTGCCTCATGGTCCTTGAATGCCATCGCTGGCTTCCATGTTGCCCCAGAACCACGCCACAGGCGCACTGAGCAATCAGCAGAGGCACTTGCAACAAGTTCACTGGTCGGCCATGCCACACAGTTGACCTTCTTGGTGTGCTCCTCAACAGACACCAGGATCCTTGATGACGACTTGTCGAATATCTGGACAGTGGCATCTGCTCCAGCTGTGGCGATAAGGTTTGTAGCGCTCGGGTTCGGCGCAACACAAAGAATCCCTCCCTGCCGTAGCAGGAATGTATTCTTTAGATTCTTTTCGAGGTCCATGACAAATTTTTTGCCTATGGAAAGTTTTTCCACCATTCACAATACATTGTGTTCTTGAGAGAGCCGCAATATCATGCTGCAGATGCATGTACGAAGTGTCTGCAGGAACCAGCAAGCAAGATAAAACTGCACAGCAGGCGAGCATAGACTTGAGGGCGTGACAGGCAAAGGGCATTCCAGATTGCTGCGGGTGCTCAGCTGCCTGCTGCTCAACAAAATCGCCACAATGCAGAGAAATACAGCAGTCAGTCAGCAATCGAACGAGATTTCCACACCTATGATGTGGATGGTTTGTTGCAAGGCAGGCAGGCAACTTTTCAGGGAGCAGGGCGCTTCTGTTCATTACACTGATCTTTAGATATAACCTCCCACTCCATTTTCTAAACAAGCACAATCATGCCAAATGAGCACAGTCCCTGTCAGTGTCTACCCATGCTCCAGAAGATACAGCTGGTGCACTATCAAAGGCACAATCCTTCACCAGGATGGCAGGTTATGGCTTGTCTATCAGTGTTTTATCTCAGTTGATCGTTCTTGCAGTGTGCCAAACCCTCTGCCACGCAGCAACCAGCTACTATTTGGATTGAGACAGCTCTGTACCATAGGGAGCTGTGAGTTTTCTGCTACAGCAAATTGCTGAAAAGCAGAGCACCTCACCTGGGTGGTCCGATGCAGCGGATGACTAGAGATCAACTCGTACTTTGCAAGCTCGTCAGTAGTTGCCAGAGTTGATGGCACAGTACGCTTCTTCCTCGCTTCCGAAAGCTGCTTGCTCATCTTGTGCAGTTCCTGCCCAACCTCAGCAGGAATACCTGGCCGAACCTGCAACAGTCACCAACATAGAATGTCAAATGTGCTGAGGTGTTGCACTTTGTGGAACTCACGCAGATGCAAGAGATAGCAACAATATAAGCCAAATTCGCTCTGCACAATTTGCAACTGAATTGCTGGTAAGGATCTGTGCCAGGCTTGTGTGGCAGACAGCACTGCCAGTTGCTTCCAATGGTGCAATGCATGCTGTTCAAAACAGGCATCTGTGTGCAATGAGGACAGGACCTTGCTGCAACTCTGTGCAGCCTAACGGTGCACATTCCCACCCCACCCCATATGCTTCAAGGTGCAGACAGGGTGCAGATATTCACAAGCTGTCCACACTATCCTCACCCTCTTGGCACGATCTTCCAATTCTTCATCTGCCATTCTTTTCTTGCCTCCTGCCTCTTTGATTAGGCCCTCAGCATCTTCCAATGCCTTCCGCGCTTCATCACGTTCTTGTACCAGCCTGAACAATTCAATGCACGTGTGGTTATTCATGCACCCATTGGTAGGGCACACCCCTTTTTAATCCCTCGATCCTTTTGTGCAATGATCGAGCACATGATAGCACTCAAGCACATCTGTATTGCATGAAGGCAATCGACCTCAATTTCGAAACAATCCATCTGCAATAGTCACAGCTGTCACTGTGCCGCTGCAACTGAATCGAGTGACAGCGCTTCCAGATCGCCTTTCATAGACTCATCGAGCAAAGGGGGATGGAAGTGGCCAGAAAAAGCAAATATGGTGCCCTTGGATATCTTCACATCACTAAATGATTCTCAGAAGCACAGCCGCTCTGGGGTCGTAATTGAACAAAAAGGCTGGCAGATTTTGTTTGCAAGGATCACTGCACAAAAGAAGAACCAGAGGGTCATGACAACCAACAAACTGCATGCACCAGCAAGCAATGTGAAGAACAGAAAGAAAGATCTCAAAGCGATGCCAGTGCCACTCATAGTGTGCCATTAGGAGGATGCTGGTCATCGTGACTCGATGGATGTGGCCACACTGGAGCACAGAAAGTAGTGTGCTGGTGATAGCGTGTCTGTACACTTGCAATCTGGGAAGAGATAACATAGATACCACAATGTACGCCCTTGGCAGTCTGCTTCTCCATTCTCCTGAAGCCCAGAGAAACATGCCCATCAACGAGCCAAACGCTTTGCTTCAGAATCAACTTCAACTTGCCTGGTGATGACTCGGCATGCTGCATCATGCTCATACATTTGGTGGCTAAGTGCTTGCCGTGTTGTGTGCAGGCTCTGCCTCAAGTTGTGGGTTTCCAGCATGAGGGCATCCCATTCCTGAACAAAACCACAAACGCTAGAGTCAATGTGTGAACAGCACACAGAAGCACAGACCACCTAACTCAACATGTCACATCAACTAATCGTTGGTGCCCAGTTCACAGGTGTATGCCTTGCCCAACTACACTGCAAAATTTGTACAGGGTGGGAAGTGCAATCACAGAGATAGCCTTCTCAACAACTGCACACCCTATGCCACCCGTGTGCTCTTGTACTGCTTGAAAGCAATGCATGGATGGTTGGAATATCAACAGTGCCTTGAGTGACTGCTGCACCCATCGCTGCTAGCCAATGATGGCAGCAGGTGATACTTGGGCTATGACACTCCATGTGCAACATTCGCCTTAGCATTCTTTTACCACGCACCACCACTTGCCAAGATAGATATGCAGGCCTACCCCACAGGATTCCAACACCTACTCCACAACCAAAACGGGTCCTCACATTTCTTTCTCCACATGGATGCTGTGATGAGACCACGCAGAATTCCCAGCAGTCCATAATGGGTTCCATTGATGCTGCGTATCCACTGTGACTAATTTATGGGTGTACAGCCGGCCATTGAGCAATCCACAGCACTTGTGGCATCCACAGCCTGTCTCAGCAGCAAGATAGGGAGCAAACACACTTCCCGTTTTGAGGACATGACGATTATGAGAACAAGAGAAAGAGGACCCACGTTGTGAAAGAGCCCCAGCAATCCAGGGATGCTCGTGGCGGATGAAGGTCGGGGCTTCACAGCCTGCGTACAACAATGAGCACATAACAAATGTCATGGCAAGTCAAGGCAGAGTGTTGTGCACTTCCAACACCGAAGGGCTTGCTTGTCGCACATGGACTACAAGGTGGACAAGGTTGTTGGAGATGTCCACAACCACAAACCAGCAATGCTCATGACCACAGGTATACCAGGTTCTGGACCAAGGTTCCTGGTTGGTTAGGTGAGTGGCTGGAAGAAAACCTACCCTGTGGTTGCATTGTGCCTCTGACATCACTGTATCTGGTGCCAATGCCTTTTTTCTGTTATGTACAGTCCAAGCAATCCACCACCCAAAGACTGCTTCCATGCAGGACACTTGTTGTACACATTGACACCAATCTCCAGCATCATTAGCTCATCAACTTGGCATCCATGGACATGGGTCAGGTGTGTGGCAATGCTATGCAGTCCATCGTACCTTGTTCGTTTTGACCTCAATCAGGTCATCTAATGTGGATGGCTCCTTGGTGATGGGATCCATCCCATGCTCCTGTTCCACAAGATTTCACATTGTCAAGCTAGCAATCACGACCTTCTTTCAGCAGTCCAGATAATCATCTGCGTGCCATTGCGGGAGCACAAGGCTGCATTTTTGCAAGGCAGGGTCAAATATTTTGCTCTGCAAGGACTCGTTTCATTTCAAACTCGAAAGTTCAGTCACTCTCTTAGGCAGTTGGGTGGCTGCTAGCGTCAGTTGAGGTGATCATACAATGATCGCAACATAATGGGGCTATTGGTGAACTGAACTGACAGAAGATGGATACCTCACTGTTGCCTGTTATTCCTTGGTGAGGCTTTTGGAGCTGACAAGAGTTGAGACACTGGACATGCCTGTTCATTACATTGTTCTGACTTGAACACTGACAAGCCAATGTGTGGCATTTGGCTTTATGTTGCTCTTCACAGGACGCAAAGAAATTCAGTCCAGGTCCTGTTCCACTTGCGAAACCCACATGCCACAGTAAAGACTGTTCATGAAGTGCATTTGGTGTGAATACATAATTCGCCATTCATACAGAGAAGGGCGCATAGTTAACACTGTGCCTGGAGCCGTCCTCTGGTTGGGGGCAATTCGCTTGGGCTGATGGCAGTCAACTGCTACGATTCCAAGCTGCAGTCCACTTGTTTCAACAAGGGACAGCACTGGAATCACAAGTACACAACAACAGCTGTTTGCAAGTTGCGATACATTTCATCCAAGCAGAGAGGAACAGCAGTCGTCAAGTTGCTTCTCTGAGTATACAAAAAAGACTGTGGGAAAAGGAAGCTGCAAATCGCCAGTTGATATTCCCAGTTGCCATGTTGCTGAACCAAATTGCTGCTTCTGCTGTTCTTTCTTTTAGAGGTGTCTTGACATCATCTCTGGAAGGCTTGCTTGGGCGATATCACAAGAAACGACAGCTCCTACCACCTAATTGGTAATACTCCAAAGGTTCAGACTCCAAGTTATTCAGCTCTTCTGCCACTGCAACAGCGTCCCAGAGCTGCACACTTCCCTTCAGCTGTCATGTTTTGTGATTTGGGACAACTGCAAGCAAAGGAAATGCGTTTTTCTGCTGTGCTGTCTAGCCAACAGCCACGGCTAATGGGGCAATAAGTCTGCATTCATCCCACCATGGCCCGTCCCGGCCCCATCGACTCACCTGTATCTCCTTCTCCACCAGGCGGCGCTCATAGAGCAGCCCGCTCTTCTTCGACACGACCGGATTTTCGGGCACGTGCCCGGACACTGTCAATACAGAACCCCTTAAGCAGGGAGAAGCAAGCGATGCGACACAGAATGCCCCTCAACTGTGAACGTTTCAAGGAGCGTAAGGCCAGCCAAGTCTGAGCTCACTGTCCATTCTTTCAAATTCCATGCAGTTCGCGCACGGGAATGCCGATCAAAGCAGCCTCCTGGGCAAAGGCTGTCCAGACTCGTTTGGCATTACTGGGTGGCGCCAAGGGCGCCGGATCTCTGCACTCACGCGAGCACAACATGGGGAGCAGCTGCACTGACGAGGTCGCGGGTAAGGGGTGGGCGTAAGGTCAATGTGCGTCGCCCACAGCGCCCACAGTCCGAGCAAAGGCAGGACCGTGGGCACGCGACTTGGTGCCAACAAAGGGGACAATCAGGGGCTAATGTGAGGTCATTTCCTGGAGATTTGAACTTGCCACATTTACAGGCGTTGTTTGGAAGTTCCATTGTTCATCATTGTACAGTAGGGTTCCCTATATAGCGCCCCCCTAATAGCGCCCCCGGCTCCCAATAGCTCCCCTTTTTTTGGCTTGTCACCATTTTTTTAGTACTTTATGCAACTTCACTGCTTGTGGGACCTCAAGCTACTATGGTATACAAGCAGCCACACCAAAGAAAGGTCTCCGATGGACAGATGGCGCGGTGGCTGTCCATTTCTGCAAACTTGGCATATTGGGGACGGGTGAACAGCACGTCTGGTGCGTCCACTGTGGGGCCCGGGCCCAAGGCCTCCCTGGGAGGCCAGGGGAGGTGTGCGTTCCGTGGCGGAACTCCATATATGCACAACAAAGTGGGCACTGCCCGCTTGGGCTCCTTGCGGCCAGCAGAATGGAGGGATAGGGAGGGGTTCCCAATGCCGCGGCGTCCATTTCTTTAATGCACAGATTGACGCAGAGTCCAGGGTCGACAGAGACCATGTCGCAAACGAGCATTGTGTGCAAGCCTTGCCCTTGCCCCTCAGAATTGGTAGGCGGCAGTGCCTAACGTCCGAGTCAAGGCCAATTGATGGCACTCGTGGGCGCCAACCAGGGCAACCATGGTTGGCACCATTTGGCGCCAAAGGGGGCCCAACAATAGTGAGAGTGTGAGGCCACGTTCGGCCTCCCGCTTCTGCGTTTTTGTTGTGACTTTCGTGCCCAATTCTTAAACGCCACGCAAATGTTATTGACTATTGGTATTCGCCCATGCTGCACCTGCCACTCTGGGCCATGCAACTTGCATACGGGGAAGACCCTGACTCTGGGCGACCTCCCACATGGGTGGGGAACGGTGGGGCGCATTCATTGGGTGATGCGCTGTTTACAACGATGCTAGCACTCGGATGCAAGGACGTCCCACCAGTACATACACGTGTGGTCGTTCATGAACAAACAAATGGTGTTATGCAACTGTGCTCGTTACATATAATCTATGGTGAGATTTCAACTTTGCAATGCACCACAATATTCATTACATGCTTTGGCTACAGTAGTATGGGTGCCCAACAAATAGTCACCTGATTAAGAATAAATCCAAAAAACTCCACAAAAGCAATTTATGGCTATAGTTCAACAAACGTCTTATAGACCAAAATACAAGCCCTCAACATATGGTTTTTGAAGGTTTGAAGAATTCGTTCAGTTGCGTTTGCATATTCTTCTTGGCACTTGTGTGCTTGAGGGACTTTTGCTTGGCCTTGTACAAATAACCCACTACCACATCCAAACTTGCTTTGATAGCAAGATCTTCGAGGACGATAAAATAACTCGCTATTGCTGGATATGCAGGCAATTGAAATCGCTTATCTCATGCTTCATGATGTGCATGGCGTGGTTTTGGTTCGATGTAGGCGATGCGCCCGCCGAGGCGCCCGATCGGCCCGGATGGGCCTCCTCCGCCAGATGGCGGGCTTTGCCGGGGCGCTCGGTCTTTTGCGTATGCAGTGTGGGCCCAGGCCTACAGGTGACCGGGTATGGGGCGGCCGTGCGTGCAATGGGTGCGCAGCGCCGTGTGGCTTGCGGGTGCAGCCATGGGGTACGCGGAGTGGGCGAGAGAATGGAGAATTACAGACTGACAGGCGGTTACCCATTTGAGGGGGTGGCCCCCGCCCGGATCACATGAAAATGCAGTGTACGGGCCCAACAATGGTATCTCATTCCCCAATACGGTTCAGCAAAGGGGGTCGTAAGTACTGGTAATATATCTATCAATATCTCCTTTACTGCTAACCCAATGGAGGTGATACGGACCCGGCTGAAGAACCGCTCGGACTGGG